GATGGGCTTGGGCGGCGAAGAGAGAGAGGTTGTGTTTCTTTTGGCGGCTGAGAGAATTGAGAGGAAGGAAAAGACAAAACCCTAATGCCCGTTCATTTTGCCGATTCGAGTTTAGAATTCGAATTTTGTTACCGTAAAAAGCTCTCAGAAACAGTCACATCTAACTTTTTTATTACAGTAAAAAGCTCTCACACAAAATCACATCTCAACTCGAATCAGCGAAGTGAACGGCCCCAAAAGTGTAAAGTTGGAAAAAAGAAACTTATTTCATATGAATATAAAAAAAAAGGGCTATAATTTATCCCAAGTTGAAAAAACTACTGTTGTGAAATTTGTTATATGTGCAGGGGGAAATAGTAAGAAATAGGTTAATATAAAAAGTTTAAGAAAGTATATAGGTCAATTTTTAGTTATAGAAATTAATAAATCATAACTTATCAAGTTATAGTTCATAACCAGATAAGTTATGGATAAATTTGTCAAGTTATGGTTCATAACCAAACAAGTTATGGACAAAAATTAGGAATAACTTGTCAAGTTATGGTTCATAACTAGACAAGTTATGGAGGAAAACAGTAATTTGACCTATTTATTAACTTATGTAAACTATTGACCTATTAATTTTAATTCATCTCAAGTCTTGATTTATTTCTTTCTTTCTCCTTATGTGTATTGTCTTTTTTGTCAATAACCAAGCCCACCAATGCTGAGCTCCCCCCCAAAAAAAAAAGCCCAACAATACTCAGCTTTCATTTTTTTTTTCCATTTGTTTGTTAAGTGAAACGCACCGTTTCACTTTAACTAAATTTTTTTTAAAAATGCAGTAGAAAACATCACGATCTTGTCTGGATGAAACCCTAGCCGCCAAAGTCCAAACCTCCTCCTCCTTCTTCTTCCTCTTCATTTTTCCTTCGAAGCTCCATTGCCGCCGCCGCCTTCTTCGCCGTTCTCCTCCGTCCGTAGCTGCCGTGAAAGTAATGGTGACCAATCGAAACCGAACCGACAAATATCGGCCACCGAACCACCGGTTTCTTTCTTCCATCGGTTGACGTTCGTTCTTTTTCTTTTTTGAAAATCGACAATGACAGTCGGTGACCGAACCGACGAAAATTGTCAGACACCGACCAATGTACAGCCCTAGTATGTAATGACCGGGAAAAATTTAGGTCTAATCCGGACAGTCTGGTATTTGACCGAAATTCTTTCCGGAATAATTAGTAGAATTTTGATGTAATCAAGAAAATATTATGGAGGAACTTTGTATACAGGGTAAAATTTCCCGAAATATGTAAAGTTATAATACGAATGTTCTTACAAGGAAAATTCGTAAATATCAGTTATGAATAGTGAAATAGTAGTTAAAAGTTAGAAATTTTAACAGGTACATTTTAGTTATGAAAAACTAAAATATTTGGTTTGTGACCAAATGACCAGCTAGAAAAAGAGTATAAATATTAGAAGTAAGGAAAATAAAAAAAGTTCCTGAAACATAATTTTTCCGAGCCAGTTAAAGTGAGAAACTGCTAAAAAAACCAATGCCGCGAGGGTAAGGTAAGTTACAGTCATTGTCTTAGTAAAGAACAATAGACTGTAATAAGTTAAGATAAGTTTCGGGGACTTGTTCCATACCCGATTTCTTAAAGTATTAGCAAGGATAAGTGGTTGTATAACAAAAGAACATGCTAGGAACATGTTAAGAACCCGAGGGTTAAAGAAAAAAAAATTACTCGTACAGAAACGTAAATTAAAGAGGCGATAGTCTAATAACAAGTAATAGATTAGTCTATAACTCAGCTTAATAGTAGTAGTTTAAGGTTGGCGACCCGCTGCTAGGGCGGGAGACGTCACATAGTATGTCGGACGCCCACCCAAGAAAGGCTTTTCAATATTCTTATTCACAAGGCATTTGAGAAGTACATGATCAAAGTAGAATAAAGAGGCGTATAGTATAAACGATAGAGTACATAAAGAGACGTATAGTATAAGCGACAGGGTAAATCTTAGGCCGTGATTCGAATTGATTCTGTTTTTATTTTTCACGTTTTAAAAAAAATGAAAACGTTTATAAAATGATATTTGGCGTAATAAAGATAAAAAACAAAAATAAAAATGATTTTTTAGTTTAGTGTAAAATGAGAGAGAAATAAAAAATAATTTTTAGTCATTTTTTATTTTTTATTTTCGTATTTTCCTCTCTCGAGCAGAGAAAAAGAGACGGAGATATTAATAAATTTTTTATATTGAAAATAATCTCTTAATAAAATTAATAAATGTATTTTTAAAAATAATTTCTGTCTGAAATTAAAAATATTTTCATATAAAAAATAAAATTACTTTAAAACGAGTTTTAAACGCGCCTTAAATTCTTTATCTTAGATTAAAACTTTAAATGTGGAAAGAGTTAACTTTTGGCTGAGGCTATCCGTCGCTCTCTTCTAATAAATCGAACACAAAATTTGTCGTATCATCCGTAATTGAGTTCGTGCTTATAAGCGCAAGAGTTCTCAGATTGAGGGTTCCTAGATTCTAATCTATGCTCATTTGACTTGGGAATGTTTATTACGCAATTAGGACGTAGCATTTTGTATTGCATTTAACGTTGTATAAATATTTTGTATTCTATTTTTTAATATATATAGTACCACCTTGGCTTAAAAAAAAACTAATGTTTTGAAGTTCGTTCAGTTCGCTGATTCGAGTTTTTAATTAAAATTAAAATGTGACTTTATGTGAGAACTTTTACTGTAACAAACAAGTTAGATGTGGTAGTTTCTGAGAATTTTTTACTGTAACAAAACTCGAATAGATAAAATGAATGAAACCTTAAATTATATTTCATAATTTAATACAAGACGCTGTCAAAAATAAACAAAAACTACTCAATTAATAAAGAAAAAAAATAAAAAGTCACAATAAAATTTAATTATTTAGAATAACATAAATAATAGGTCTTTATAAAATCATAATAAAACACGTACTTTTCTCTAAATTATTTTTAAGTAGAGAACATCAATAAATTTGAAAATCTTGAGTTAATTTGACTATATAACATTTCTATGAGGTGGTTGTTGGTTTTTACCATTTCATTTCATTTCCTTTAATTCATATCACTTTAAAGTGGTATAAAGTTTATATTATCCCTCGTTCATATCTAAATTCCCAACCCTTCAGTTAATCTTCAATTAATTTCAGTTAATAAAAGTTAACCATATCTATTGTCCAAGTTAAAATTATCTTTTTATTCATTAAGAGTAATATGTTTCAAACTTTTTCACATAAGTGATAAAATTGGATGATACTACCACATAAGTGGTATTTTTCCAGTTGACTTGAAAATGGAAATGGAGACAAATACCCCTTAAAATGTATGATCTTAGATTTTTATCTTTTAATTTTGATTAATGTCCTTTATTCAAAGAACTATATTAGTGATAAACTCCCACGGGGATAGAAATCTTTATTCAAAAAAGATAGAAATCTTAGACCAATGCTTTTCACCTAGGAGTGTAAGTAGGCCAGGTAGGCTCGAGTTGGGCCTGAAATTTGGGCCGAGCCGCCACATTCTGGGTGAGGAGAATTTGGGCCACAACACCCTCTTGTTCTCACAAACCCGTAACCCTTCGGGTTACCTCGGTACGCTCGTTTTGTAGGTTGGGCCTGGACATTGGACTTGTGTCCCTTGCTACTAAAATTCAAAGAGAAGGGCCACTTAGCGAGTTTGAGTTATTTGCCGTTCTAGAAGTGAAGACTGCATTTTTCTCCATATTTATAAAGCATTGGCTATTCAGTGTGCGCTGGAGCAATTTGTAGAAAACCAAATGAAAATCATCTAATAAAGAAAACAAGAAAACCAACCTCACAGTAGCTTGGTGTGACGAGGCTAACATGATAGTTTTAAACGGCGGAACGACAAATACTTGGGGAGGAAGTGAGAATAAGGAGTGAGAAAGAATCAGTCTCAGACGTAGAGACTTGGGGTGATCGGGGCAAAATGATCGAGAGATAAGAGGGAGAAATTGAGCTTAGAAACATTAAGGGGTTGTCTGTACTCTGTAGGGTATTTTTACATAATTGGCAAAAGTTTATTCGGCCATGTCGGGGGTTAACATGTTAAATAGACCCCGACTCGCGACTCTACCTGCACATTGCGGGTCGAGACAATTTGAAACCGAAAAAAAGAAGAAAAGAAAATTCAAGGGCTTAGTTCTTTTGATGTTTTTGAGTTAGGTAACTTGAGTGTAGATTTTGAGTTGAGTTTGAGTTATAACTTGAGTTGAAGTTGTAATTTGAATTTGTGTTTGGTTGTGTATATTTGAGTTATGGTTTGAGATAAGAATCTTTTTGAGTTTGTGTTTGAGTGAGTCAAAATTTGAATTTGTATTTAGATAGTATTTTAATAAAAACTCAATGCTGATGAAAAATTTTAATAGGGTATATGGGTGGGGATTCGTCTTTTCGTTGTCAATGCATAGAAAAAAATCATCTCAATCAGAATTAAAACGAAAAAATTATAGCATTTTTAAGAATAGAAAAAATACTGTTCATTAATTTGAGTAACTCGAGTTGAAGGGAAAATTTGAACTCGAGTTTTAGTCCCAAACTCGAGTTCAAACTTAAAAGAATATGAACTCGAATAAAGTTATAACTCGAGTTAATTTTTTTAAATTTTTCACTCAAAAACACCCCAGTAGAGTCGGGTAGGCCAAGTTAATCTGTTCGGGGTGATTTCTTACGCCCCTACTTTCACCAATTTTCTCCCCTGAGATCTTCCAAGGAAGCATAAAGCCCAATTAAGAACAAGTGAAGCCCGGCGAGTGTTCTTCATCTTGCCTAAGCCTTACAAAAGCCCTGAAACTCATGGGCTTCTATGGAGGCCCAGATGAGCTGGGCACAATCGTCCAACCCAACAAGAGAGCTATCAGTTACATCCAATCTAGACCGTCTACACTCTAAAAAACACAACAAAAAATCAACGGCGAGAGATGAAGGCAAGTCATCGATCCGCTTCCGTTTGGGAGAAAAGAAAAGGAAAGAAAGAAGCGGAAAATCAAAATTGGCGCGAGAATTCATTTTCACACTTTCATTTTGAGTATTTTTGTTTTCTCTCTCATTTCGCGGCAAACAAAAATGTATTGGGAAATTTCAAACTTTCCCACTTTCCCAAACAGAAATCAAAATCACACCACTAACTCATATTTAAATTAAAACCACACGCATTCCTTCTCTTCCCAAATTTGCTTCCCATCCAGTTATCTCTTTCTTTCTCTCTGTAATTCAGCGTTTCGTTTCGTTGCGTTTCGAAGAAGTAGTAGAAAATGGCTGGTGGAGCTGTGAAATCGAATCCGACGAAGACGAGGAAGAGAGTCGAAGCGTCTCAGGAATCTACTGCGGCTTCTCTCGTTCGCGGCAAAGATGGCAGTGCTTTTGCCCGTTGGTACGAACAGAAAACCCTAATTTTCATTTCCTTTTTTTTTTTGAAAATTCCGATAACCCTTTTGATCTGAGTTTGCTCTGTACTCGTATTTTCTTTTTCAACCACTTTGCTGTGAGTTTTTTTTTTGTTTTTTTTCAAATATTTGTTTGTATGTGCTTTATTTTGTGAAATACAAAGGAAATGATCAGCTATCTGCGTTCTTATTTTTATTTATTTTTTAAATATTTGTTAAGAGAAGAACTCTGTGTTTTGATGGAGAACTCTTGTGTGTACGTAATCCGTTTGACTAGACTTGAGGAAGTAGTCAACTCTTTAGTGTTTTTTTTCCTAATGTTTTTTTAGTACATAGGGTATTTTGTGAAATACAAAGGAAATCATATCATTAGTTTTTTTTTTTTTTTTTTTTTTTTAAATTGTTTATGAGAAAAGAACTTTTTTTTGGTCCCGTTCATTTCACTTATTCGAGTTTAGAATTCGAGTTTTGCTACAGTAAAAAGCTCTCATAAACAATCATATCTAACTTTTTTGTTACAGTAAAAAGCTTTCATATAAAATCACATATAAACTTAAATTAAAAACTCGAATCAGCGAACTAAACGAGTTCTTTGTGTTTTTGGATGAAGTGAGGAATGCAGCAAAGATGTTCCAGTTGCTTTGATCAGCTTTCACAGTTGCAGCCTCGATGCCAAAATCAAAATGAATCTCGGTAGTTCTCAAATTATTGGTTGATTTCTTTACTTTTGAATCCTCAGTTTCACTGATGCAAATGGTGAAATCTAAAAACTGGGTTTTGTATTGTTTCATTTCAGAGGCTCAAGTTGTGGAGAAGCCCAGTGAGACAAATAAGCCGGAGAAGTACTAATCACTTCACCATTTACTTTAGTTTTTTGTTTTCAATTGTTTGTTGTATTACTTTGTCTCTTTTTTTCTGTGGGGAGTTTTTAAGTGTTCTTGATTTGGTTGTGTAATAGGAAAAAGTCCTCATCAACAGAACCCAAGCTGAAGAAATCGAAAGTTGAGAAGAAGGGCAAGAAGGGGAAGGATCCAAACAAGCCCAAGCGTCCTCCAACCGCTTTCTTTCTCTTCATGTAAGACCTTTTTGTTTATCTCCCGGTATGTTTTGTGCTCTTAAATGAAAATTTTTTGATGTTAATGTGGTTTGTGAATCTTTCAGGGATGACTTCAGAAAAGAGTTCAAAGAAGCCAATCCTGACTCTAAGGATGTTAAGAAGGTAATTTATTTATTTTTGATTTTTTTTTCTGTTGTAGGTGAAAATGTGTTGAGTAATTTAAAAATTGGGGATTTTCAATGGTTTTAGGTTGCGAAAGAGGGTGGTGAGAAGTGGAATTCTTTGAGTGATGAGGAGAAGAAAGTTTATCAGGACAAAGCTGCAGAGCTTAAAGTGGAGTACCAGAAGGCCTTGGAGGCTGATAGTGCTGAAGATGCGGAGGTAAAACTAGAATTTTTATTATTTTTAATGATTGATTAAACTGTTTAGGATTCGCTGGATTTGTTATATTGTTGGCTTATTGCTGTTATGTGATTGTGGTCTTTGTTTTCCTTTATTCAGGAAGAAGCAGGTTCTGAGAAAGAAGCTCCAGAGAAGGAAGTACAAGAAGTGGAGGAAGTATCTGATGGAGAGTAGGATAGCTGTGGAGTTTCTCTTTTGAAACTTCTTGATATTTGTTTCTGCTGGACATTTTCCTTAACTCACTTGTTCTTGTAAATTTTTTGAGCTGATTGTTAGTCAAGATGTTAAAATTGTAGATCATCATGGGGTGAAATTTGTCCTTTTTGCCTATTTGAACGCTCGGTAGAATTTGAATTTTTAATTTGAATTTTGTTATAGTTAAAAGTTTTTTTATAAAAAATTACATTTAATTTTTTTGTTAATAGTTAAAAGTTGTCACTTAAGTCATATTTTAATTTGAATTAAAAATGTAGAATTTGAATTTTTAATTTGAATTTTGTTATAGTTAAAAGTTTTTTTTATAAAAAATTACATTTAATTTTTTTGTTAATAGTTAAAAGTTGTCACTTAAGTCATATTTTAATTTGAATTAAAAACTTGAATTGGTGGGCAAATTGAATGAGGCCTAATTTTAACTCTTTGTTCAACAATGTCTTTCATTAGCTCATTTTGCCACCTCGATTTTCCCGAGTATATTTCATTTATCCACAACTTATTGATGTAATTCTGTCAAAGCACAATAACAAGAATGTTATTCTGTAAATCTAATATTTCCTTTAGAATGACGCAAAATAATCTCTCTTTGAAGTAACTAACAATGGAAATGAATAATATAAGATTATATAGGTAGAATACTGGAGCTATTTCTCTTGATCTCATGTGGCATGAACATATCTGCTCCCGGGCAATGGAGTCAGCATTTTACTGGCTCTTTTCTTCTGATTTCTTTGCTCTACAAGGTGGCAAAGGCTTGCCGCATAAGCACAAATTGTGGGCATAAGCAACTGAAGGGAAGATGTTAAACGGCCGACCCTGCGGTATCTCGCCGCATAATCTGTTTGCCCGAAAGCTTGCATGTCTCAGAGCTCCAATCCCCAATAAGCTATTTGGGATTCTACCTGAGAGGCCATTGATAGAGAGGTCAAGCCATTGAAGCTTCACCAATTGGCCTAAACCTGTAGGAATGGTGCCTGTTATCAGGTTCCTTGAAATGGATAGCTTTTCGAGGTTAATCAGGCTGGAAAGTGAACTGGGGAGGTGTCCACCAATCTTGTTGCTTTCTAGATTGAGTATTCTCAACCTCAAGCCTTCACCGAATTCTGGAATTACGCCTGAAATTTGATTCCTCGATACGTCGAAGACCTCCAGAAAGCCACTCGTATGGTTTAGGATCTTTGAGAGGGATCCCACAAGCTCATTTGAGCTCAAATCAATAACCGATAGCCCGTCTAGAAAATTGGTTTCTGAAATATCAAACTTCAATTCATTCTTTGAGAGGTTGAGCTTTTGCAAGCTTGACATGTTGGTGAAGAACTTTGAAATCCCACCGGTGAATTGATTATCAGACAAGTCAATGGAGGTCAAAGAATCTGGCCTTGTGAAGCTTGGAAGCATTCCTTTAAGCTGGCAGCCGGCAAGATGGACATCGGAAAGTTGTCGACTTCTGATCCAATCCGGAACAGTCCCCAAACTGAGGTTATTGTAAGAAAGGTCTATTGACAACAGAGAAGGAATGCCCCTGCCAAGTGTGTTCGGTAAAGGGTCGGAGAGTCCATTTCTAGACAAATTAAGGTACCATAGATTCTGCAGCCTTGAAATGGATGTGGGAATATGACCGGTGAACCGATTTCCGCTCAGCGAAAGGCTGGTAAGGGATTTTAGTCCCTCAATCTGGACAGGAATTATTCCAGTGAGTTGGTTATGGCTCAAGGACAAGTCCTGAAGCTTGGCCAAGCTAAACAAGGAAATGGGCACCTGCCCTGACAATTGGTTGTTGGAAAGGTCAACAAAGGTGATGGTTTGAAACTGCCCTACAAAATCTGGGATGAGCCCAGAAAGCTGATTGGAGCTAAGATCAATATACTGCAAATTATGAAAATTTTGAAAAGTGGTTGGGATTGGACCATTCAGGGAGTTTCTTCCCAAGTTAAGTTGAAGAAGGTTTCTGAGGTTACCTAGACTAGGAGGAATCTGGCCAGTCAAGTGGTTGCCACTCAAGGAAAGTCCCTGAAGCAAGGACAAACGGCCTAAACCTGAAGGGATGCTGCCTTTGAGAGAGTTGTCTTCAAGAGACAGCTGCGTAAGGCGGGTCAAATTCGACAAGCCCTCCGGGATTGGACCGGCGATTTGCCTCATCCCACTTATAGTCAACACTTCCAAGAAGCGCAAATTGCTCAAAGAAGGGGACAGGGTGCCCCTCATGTAAAGGCCACTGTCCTTGTTTGGCCTTTGCAATTCAAGCACATTGACCCTCCCTGCTTCATTGCACTGAATGCCTTCCCAACCTCCTCCGCAGCAGTCTTTTCCGATCCATGTCGAGAGAGTATCCGTCGTGTCCTTGACGATTTTCGCCTTGAATCCAAGAAGAGCAGCTCTATCTTCTTCCGAGCAAACTGGGGACACCTGAGCTAGGGACTTGCAAAACAGACCGAAGAATGAGAAAATCAACAAGAGAGTTGGAACCCATCTCAGGACTTGCATTTTTGGGAGGTGGGTATAGATCAAAACAGAAAAATAAGGTGAAAATGTGAGAACTTGAGTGAGGTTCGGATCTGAGAGGGGAGTTTTGAATGGAGAAAAACCATATTCTATAAGGGGAAAAGTGGGAAAGGTTCCAAAGCACAAGACATGGGCTTATTCTGTTTTCTTCACGTAGACAGGAAGGTATAATGATGAGAAAGATGGTGGTAAGCAATTAACAAATATCAAAGTGTGAGTGAGAGAAAATTATAATGCTGTTGTTGGAGATGTCTGAAGTTTCAACACTGTCCCTCAGTATTTATAGTGGACTAAAAGCGAGTGGCTTTTTGTTGAGAAAGTTAAAAAACAGTTTCTTTTTTTAAATTTTCCAGAGGGGCGTTTTTGCTAAATTCCAATTTTAAAGGCATTCACATGGGGAATTTTTGACCGTTCGATGTATCACGGGGATCCTAGTATAGTTTTGAACGTTGGAGCGCACTAAGATTCAAAATTTCTGAAACCCCCCCCCTCCCCTTTTGAGAAATCAACCTCATTTTGCTCATCCACAAGTTTTCATGTTGTGATGAACTATCATTTCCCCTCTGGCCATCATTTGTTTCTTCTTTGGATTGCATTCTGAGTGGCAGCATTCACATGGGGAATTTTTGACCGTTCGATGTATCACGGGGATCCTAGTATAGTTTTGAACGTTGGAGCGCACTAAGATTCAAAATTTCTGAAACCCCCCCCCTCCCCTTTTGAGAAATCAACCTCATTTTGCTCATCCACAAGTTTTCATGTTGTGATGAACTATCATTTCCCCTCTGGCCATCATTTGTTTCTTCTTTGGATTGCATTCTGAGTGGCAAAAAAAAAAAAAAAAGAGCTTTAATGTGGTTTGGCTGCATTCTAATCAGGCCAGAACTTTAATATATTTTTCTACAGTTATCTAGTACCTATTTATTTTGCTCGTTACAAGTGAAATGAAGCCGTTATAATATCTAGTAATTTCCATGTCATAAATAGTGTCGTATCCGGAGCCATATAAGTTAATGGTAGTTCACATGTGTTATGTTTTTGAAACTACATGATTTTTTTTTCTTTTCTTTTCTTTTTTCCAATAAGAATTTACATGAGAGTTGAGACAAAAAGAAAGAGATACGATAATACCTATAGAGTAGAAAATGGAAAATTAGATCACATTAAGATCATACTAAATAAAGTAAAGTATGACAATCTAATATAATATTATAAAAATAAAAACTTTGTTCTACCATAATGTATAAAGATGAGGGCATTTTTTTTTTCAACACCCTATCAAAGAATTGTTTTTTAAAAAATTAATGTATTTGTTTTGTGGTGAACAGTAAGAAACTTTGTAATGACGAGAAATTAAAGTGTAAGATGTTACATGTCGACATTAATTTTCTATATTACGACGGTAAGAACCTCCGTTTTCCTCTAATAAGAAAAGAATATTTGTGCGATGTCATATAACGGTTTTATTTTGCTTTTTTGGCAGTGTGACAACGACAATACAAGACATAGAATAATTTAGATTTGCTCTCTGTTATTTCACCGATTCGAGTTTTGCTATAGTAAAAAGTTCTAAAAAATAATCACATTTAACTTTTTTACTATAGTAAAAAGCTCTCACATAAAGTCACATCTCAACTCGAATTAAAAACTTAAATCAACGAACGAAACGGGTCCTCAATGTACTACTGAGTTAGGGGTGAAACAACAAGCATATATTTGCCCTAAAAAGACAAGCACAATACTATTACATGCCTTATTCCTTTCTTATTTTGGAAGTTTACTAAAGAGTATATTTTTATTAAGTTATCTTAAACAGGAAACTGTGGATCCTACTTTCCAATTCCTTCTTCTACAAATTGCACTTGGAAACAAGAAGCCTATCAATCACATGTTAATCTTGCTTTTTTGGAAGATTGACAAATATTCTAGATCATGGCATGTTCAGTTCTACTGATCATACCCTTAGGACTTGCAATCTTAGTCAGAATTGTTGATTTTTCAAACAATCATGCTTTACATTTTGACTTTTAACCCTCCTCTCAATCCTCTAAAATCCTAATTTTCTTTATTTTATTTTATTTTACTTCACAATTATTTTTTATCCTAAGTAATTGTAGGATCCCAAAATTGAGGGTGCAAGAGACCAATTAATTAATAAGAAAGTGACAAGTTTTTGGATAACCACTAGAACTCTTGTCCAAAATCAATGCACCTTTAGTTAAGGTAACACAGGTGAATAGTGAATTTTGTCTTGTTAATTAATTAATTAGTTGATTGATTAAAAACAAATTATAAACTAACCTAATTAAAGTGATTACGTAGAATGAGCTATTAGTCTTTTAGAATTCAATTTCTTTCATACATATATATATATATATATATTATCTGTGTCTTGCTCTTGCCCCCACTCCTTTTTCATTCCTTTTATTTCTTTTTCTCTCTTCCTCTTAAGGTCGGCAATGCCAGTTTGCAAAAGCGATATTGATCAGAAAGGCATTGACAATGGCTTTGCTATTTTATTTATTGTATGAGAAACATAAAATCAAGCATTAGTTTAGGCGTCTCTTCACAGGTTCAAAGTTCATTTTGATTGGCAATTATTGGACTAGTAATCTGACAACTTGCTTTCTTTCTTTCTTCTTCTTCTTTAACTCTAACATTTGCTGTTAACTACTTAGTTCGGTTCGGCCATGAATTAGTAGTGACCCCGTTCTTTTCGCTGATTCGAGTTTAGAATTCGAGTTTTGCTACAGTAAAATGCTCTCAGAAACAGTCACATCTAACTTTTTTGCTACAGTAAAAAGCTCTCACACAACATCATATCTCAACTCGAATTAAAAACTCGAATTAGCAAACCGAACGGTTAAATTTTAATACTGTGTTTGGTTAATATTTTTAAAGGCCTGGATTGGATAAATTTTTGTCCAGTCCATTACAAAATCCTCTTAAGAAGAGGATGTTGCTATCCCCTACTGAAGCAAGGGATAACATTTGAGTAAAGCACATTGTGAAAAACACTAGGGACTTATTTGTAAATTTTAATGAAATTTAGGGTATAATTGTAATTTTTTTAAAAATTGAGAGGTCAAATTATAATTTCTAAATAAGTAATACATTTTAAAAAATTATATTTTTACTCCACAAGTTTAAAAAAAATTACAATTTGACTCTAAATTTTAAATTTTATTACAAAAAGCCCCTATCCTAATAACACAACACCAAACATGGAATTTGATTAAACTAAAATTTAATCTTGTACTTTCATCCCTAAAATTATACTATCCCATCCTACGCCCTAGCCCAGGGATTGGTCTAACACCCTTTTTTGTTTGTGTTCATTGCTTTTGTGTGTTTTATTTATTTATTTATTATTTGATTAAACTAAAATTTAATCTAAGGGCCTGTTTATTTCGCTGATTCGAATTGAGATGTGATTTTATGTGAAAGTTTTTTACTGTAGTAAAAAAGTTAAATGTGACTATTTCTAAAAACTTTTTACTGTAGCAAAACTCAAATTTTAAACTCGAATTAATGAAGTGAATGGGGCCTAATACTTTCATCCCTAAAATTATACTATCCTATCCTACGCCCTAGCCCAGGGATTGGTCTAACACCCTTTTTTGTTTGTGTTCATTGCTTTTGTGTGTTTTTTTTATTTATTATTTATTATTTTTTTATTAGTCTGAACACTTTTTAGGAGACAGCTTGACGTTGGTCTAGCACGCAACTAATAAGAAAAAAAAACTACATAATTGAAGTTTTTTTTTATTTATCTTTATTCTTTTATCAGCCACATAATTGAAGTTGTTGATTCTGCAATGAGCAGCCTTAAACTTATTTAGAATTAATAAAATAAATCAAATTATCTAAACAACCTTTCCTTTTCTATAAAAAAAAAGTTGTAGGATATTGAAAATACCTAACCGGTAGAAAACATTTTACAATCGTAAGATTTTCTTCAAATTCTATTAACTTTTTTATACCTTTTTGGTCTAATATAATTCTGATTCTGATAATATGTCTCATTGGCAGGATATTTTTTTTCGTGCTCTCCCACAAAATCTTCTTAAAAAAAAAAAAAACATCCTTTGATTTGGTATTAGTGTCCACCCCCTCGCAAAACTAACCTGATCCTTTAAAAATTTACCCTTTCTTTTTTTTTTCTCTAGTAAAATTTTAAAACTCATATTTCGAATTCTGAGATAGTTTCTTGATTCGAGTTTTTAATTTGAGTTGAGATGTGACTTTATGTAAAAGTTTTTTACTGTAACAAAAAAGTTAGATGTGACTGTTTCTGAGAGCTTTTTACTGTAGCAAAACTCGACTCGGTGAAATGAACATGACCTTATTTTGAAGGAAGAACAAAAATGGATATCTCTCCAAAATTTTTCTCCTTATTGAAATAATAAAATATGTTTTGTATTATAATTACAATAAAATGCGTGTGGTTTGTGGAGTAGCTTGAAATAATTGTTCCCTCAATTACTGCTAATGACTATCTAATGACAAGTTATAAGATAGTCTTATTATTGTAAGTCTAATCAATTTCTTCACTCAAAATAAAAAAATAAAAAATAAAAAAATGAAAAAATAAAAAAAAGTCTAATCAAAATTCAGCAATAACTTCAAGACCTTTTATAGGAGACAAATGTGAGCCAACTTGCAGTTTGGGATGCAGTGTTTTTGCCTCCTCTTGTTTGCTGGTGATGAGTATGGTGTGGACTCCTACTTATGGGACCTCTCTTTTTCTTTCTCCAATTCTATGGGCCGTGACCGTTACTAAACTACTTTAGCAAATCTTAACGGCTCCCATTTCTTGATATTTTCTGTTATAAGATCAGAAAAAATAAATTACCGGTATTTTTTTTTCAACTGCTAAAAATTGTCTATTCTGTATACTTTTTCGATATGATGTGATCTTAATTAGATTTAATAGTCATAAACTAATTCTATCGGTAGAGAAATCCTACCATAAAAGTTCCTTTTTTTTGCCATGTGGAAGTTTATTTTTGTTTATTTTTTCATTAATTTTCACTTGCTCTAGGGTATCACCTCCACAAGCTAGTGAACACAAAGTTACTTTGCTGTATAATCATGATAAAATACAGTTCATAACGGTGGAGTAAAATAGCTTTCTCTATCGTAAATGCATCATAAAATTTGAGCATAATTTCTCTTAGGATATAAGAATAGACAAGACATAAAATGAAAGAAAAAAAGTGGAAGTCTCTACTCTTTTAAGAATGAAATTGATATAGGATTTGC